GTCCTGGGGCTCCCTCTGCCCGTACCCCACAGGCTTGGGGTGGGGTGGGCTGGGGCTGCCTGCAGGGGTCCACCCAGCCCCGCTGCCTCCCAGCCTGGGACCTTGGTCCTAGTGTCTCACCCGTGGAGTGGACGTCAAGGTCACTGAGAAGGCCCTGGTGGGGGAGGCAGAGGCAGATGGCAGGAGGCACTGTCAGCCTGGAGGAGCTGGGGGGGACAGGAGGGGCTCAGGAGGGGACAGGAGGGGGCGGGAGGGCCGTGGGGCTGGGGCTTGAGAGGAGCGGGTGGCGGCAAGGCCCTTCCATCCCGCCACCTGCCTGAGCCTGACTGGCTCCAGATGCGGCTGAGGCTAAGCACCACGGCCCAGGACAGGTGACGATGGCTCCTGGTGTTGGACGGCGGCTGGCGGAGGGCCTGCGAGCTCAGAGCCGTCCCTCTCCAGAGGTGGCCACTGCTTGGGGGTCCTTAGTAACGGTCCCCAGATCTGCCCGGCAACACAGGGACTGAGCCAGGTGCCCCCCAGAGCCAGCGGTGGGGACTCCTCAGGACCCAGGCACACGCCGACCCCCAGGGAGGTCACAGTGAGTGACAGGACAGCCGTCCACCTGTCCCCCTGGGACTCGCTGGACTTTGGAAACAGTCCGGCTCGTCCCGTTCAGTGGGAGGCTCTGGTTTCCCTGGCAACGAGGCGACCCGGGGACGGGGACCGAGAGCCTGCGTGGGCCGGGGCCCCACCAGGCAGAGGAGCCACCTGAGCTGGCCCCGCAGTTGACCTCCACCTCCTGCACCCCCGGGGACAGTCAGGGTCCCCAGGGCTGAGGTCACCCCTGGCTGGCTGCCCGCGCCCCGTGCAGCTCAGCCACGGGAATGGCCACGAATGAGGTCATCGTTTACAGAATTTGGGGAGTCGGCCCAGCCACGAGCTCTGGAGCTTGGTGGAGCGGAAACCTGACAGGTGGCCCTTCTCCAGGGGACTCATGGCTTTTATGCCCCTGGGGGAAATTCCATGAATGAAGTGAGCTATTTACTGACCCCGCTCTTAAAGTGACAGATGCCCATTCCCGACCTGGCAGCTCCACTCTGGGCATGTGCCGTGGAATATTACATAACAAGGGAAAAGGATGAACCCAAACAGAGAGACCCCAAAACGCCATCGCTCATGAACCTGGGCTGAGTGAAGGGCCCCAGGTGGGAGAGGAGCTTGCGGCTGCTTCTGTTCAGGTCACGGTGGGAAACGGGCAACGCATCCATGTTATCTAGAGGTCGGGAGGGTGATGTTAGGGAGGTGTTCCCTGGGGCCAGGAAGAATGTTCTGGAACTTCATCCCTGAGAAGTCTCATGGAGACACCATTTATAAAAATGTCATTGAACTAAACACCTCAGACTGATCCTTTTGGTCTCATGTAACTCATCATTTTTAGAAGGGGGGATTTCTGGGGATGGAACTCAGGGGCCCTCGGCCACTGAGCCACACCCCAGCCCTATTTTGCATTTTCTTTAGAGACAGGGACTCACTGAGTTGCTTAGCACCTTGCTGTTGCTGAGGCTGACTTTGAACTCAGGATCCTCCTGCCTCAGCCTCCGGAGCTGCTGGGCTGACAGGCTTGAGCCTCTGCGCCCTACTTATATAACTTATGTTGATAAAACTTTTAAAGCAGGTGGAGGTGCGGACACTCTCCAGGTGTGGCCTGGAGCGGAGCCCGGGGAAGGGCATGTGCTTAGCCTGCGGAGCCCCGGGGTCCCTGCCCAGCAGCCTCCAAAAAACACCTTAAGCCTCATCATCACGAGACTCGGCAATTCTACCTCTGGACACAAACCCAAAGGAACCGAACGCAGGGGCAGGAATCTTGGTGCTCACACACTCGCAGCGGCCGAGAGCCACAAGGTGCAAGAGCCTCATGTCCGCCAGGGTGAGTGCGCCATCCAGGCGTGGTGCCCGGACCGCAGTGCCCACACCTGCCTCAACGCGAGCCCCAAACCACGACGCTCAGCCCAAAGGCCAGAGGCAAAGGCCACCAGTGGGCCACCCCCTTGACATGAACGGTCCAGAACCCATGACTGCACAGGGACAGAAAATAGGCCAGCAGCTCCAGGGGCTGGTGATGGAATGTTCTGGAAGATGTAAGGCAATGCTTATACTACACAATGAATGTGCTAAAGGCCACTGCATCGGACATTTTAAAAATACTTTTTAGTTGTTGATGGACCTTTATTTTATTTATTCATGTGTGGTGCTGAGAGTCAGACCCTGTGCCTCACACGTGCCAGGAAGCGCCCCACCACTGAGCCCCAGCCCCAGCCCTGCATCACATGTTTTATGTATTTATTTATTATTTGCTTATCACTCTGTGGTTCTGGGAACCGAACCCGGGGCCTGGCACATGCCAGGCAAGTGCTCTACCACTGAGCCACCCCTCTGTCCTTTTGAAAATTTTATTTGACCACTCGGGAGGCTGAGGTAGGAGGGTCACAAGTTTGAGGCCAGCCTGGCTACTTAGCAAGACCCTGTCTCAAACTAAAACAATAGAAAGGGCTGGGGATGTGGCTCTGTGGTAGACAGGTCCCTGGGTTTAATCCCCAGCACATGAAAAATCTGGCCTCAAACTCTGCGATCCTCCTGCCTCAGCCTCCTGAGGTCCTGGGATAACAGGAGTGCCTCACCACACCCAGTGAGTGGTAAACTTTAAACTTTGATGGATGTTGAGTTGATTTTTCTTGGTGCTTCACAATTGGGAGGCAGAGAGAAATGGCCTCCAGGGCAGCCCTGGGGTGACAGGAAGCTGCCTCTGGAACCCCATCCCAGCCCTCTCCCTTCTGTGCTCGTCTGACGGACTCCAGGACCCCTGGCCTGGCCTGGGCTTGGGTCCCTTACCCCCAGGAGCCCTGCGTTTGAAAGGCAAGATTCGCCTGACCCACTCCCCACCCGGCCACAGACTGGATAGAATCGACAGGTGTGAGCAGGTGCATTTACTGAGCACCTACTATGTACTCAGAGTGTCACATGGGGAACATCTAGAGCCCTGCCATGGTCCAGGGGTAACCCCACAGGACAGGCTGGTGCCCGCCTTGAGTGCCGGGCAGGAGCCCACTCGGCAAGTGGTGTGTGCTGCGGAGGGGAGGCCTGCAGGCCCTGGGAGTCCTGGGCACTCAGGGAGCCCCAGAGCTGCTTGCCTGCTCACACCTGTCACCCCCAGACACACTCCTCGTCGTCGTGGCCTGGCACGGCGGCCCACCCACAGCTGGAAGCGGCCCTGGGCGGTGTCGGGGGCCAGGAGCCCTGAGCATGGACAGAAGGTGGGGGGAGGGCTCCTGGGGCACCCCTGGCCGCCACATCTGATGGCTGGACCTGACACCAGCCCTCCCCGCTGTGCCACCCCAGCGCCTCGATTCCCTGCCACCTCCATTCTGGGCCCGGCCAAGAGACTGGAGCACAGAGAAGGTGCGTCCCTGCCCTCAAGGGGCCCCAGTACGGGGAGCAGGGGCCAGGGACGGGCAGACCTCGTGGAGGATGAGCACTGCTGGCCGGCACAGTGGGGGGGGGGCTGCTCCCTGCAGGAGGGGGTCGGATCAGGGTTTGGAAGAAGGAGCACTTATTATGCACCTTTTGATCCCCTGCATCTCCCTGTAGAACAAGAGGGGTGTCTGGACAGGGCCCAGCTGGGAGTGCATGACCGCAGCCATCCCATCTCCGCTATTGAACTTGAAAAGCTGCCAACTTGGGCAGTGTCCCTTGGCCCCAATGCCACCCCAGAACAAGCCTGGGTCTCGGTGACCCTCGTGACCTGCTCAAGGCCACGCGCATCAGGATTACTCATCTCTCCTGACGGGACACGTGTGGGGGAGTGCCCTCGTAGCCTGCCAGCTTTCAGCCTCCTCCGAGTGGCACCCTTCATTGAGCGCCTACTGTATGTACCACGTGGGTGGGGGGCAAGGCCAGAGGCTCCTCCTCCCAACCAAGCAGTCAGGATGGAACTGAGAGGCACGTTTCCTGAGCACCTATGATATGCCCAGAGTGTCTCACGGGGGACCTCTCCCCCGCCACAGCACAGTCGTGACCCCGTGGGACAGAGGCTTCGACCTCCAGGGTGGGGCTGGAGGCTTGTCTGGGCACACACAGCGAGAGGTGTGCAGTGGGTACCCGTGGGCACGGCCCAGCCTTTCTGTGCCCGGGAAGCTGGAAGCAGCCATGAGGCGGTGTCGGGGCCAGGAGTCCTGAGCAGGGGGCAGGGCGCTCCTGGGCACCCCAACTCTCCCGTCCGGTGACTGGGCCTGACACCAGCCCCCGCCCTCACACCTTAGGACTCCAGTTTCCTGCTGCCTCTGTTTTGGGACCAACCAGGAGACTGCAGCACTGGAGAGAAGATGCACTCCTGTCCCCAAAGGAGACAGCGCTAGGGACAGGGAGGAGGGGGGCAGGAGGATCAGCACCGCTGAGCAGCCCAGGGCAGGTGAGAGGCAGCTCCCTGGAGGAGGGGTTTCTGGAACAGGGTTTTGAAGAGGGAGTAGGAGTTCTCCGGGAGGCCGAGTCACCGCAATAGCAGTTTATTGAGCACTGACTAGGTCCCTAATGCTGTCCTTGACACTTCATCTGGCCACCTCCTCAGAGAAAGGCCATTATCCTGGTGGGGACAGTGAAGCCTGAACTCGCCCTTCCCAGCTTTGGCCTTGCTCCTCGGCTTCCTTTGTTTTTCACCCTCTTCAGCCTTTGATCCCACGGAGAGGGGCGCGGGAGTCCCCCTGGGGGAGGCCACCTCTCGGCTCCTGCCTGCAATTTCCCACAGTCCTGGTCTTTGCACAAAATCATGTTCCCACAGCCCCGCGGCTGGGATCTGTCCCTGCTCGGGGAGGAGCCCGGGCTTGTCCCGGAGACTCCGTCCCCCAGCACCTCCCGGGGGCGCCCAGGGGCAGGCGGGGCGGCAGGCGGGGCGGACAAAGTCCGGGACTATAAAGGCCGCTGTTCAGCGTCGCTGTCAAGTCTCGCAGCGCAGCCAGCAGCCCGCCATGCCCCAGCCCGGAGCCTCAGCCTCAGCGACAGCCCCGACAGCGCGGCCCCGGCGGCCCCGGCGGGGACCCGCGCCTCCGCCCCGACCGCAGCTGCTGCTGCTGCTGCTGCTGCTCCTGGTGATCTGGTGGCCGCCGTCGGGCGACGCGGTGTCCCTGGCCGAGCCGCGCCGACCCGGCCTCCCGGGGCCATCGGACACCCACCCCGAGGCCGAGCCCGATCCCTGGTCCCGGGAGTTGAGGATGCGCTACGAGGACCTGCGGGCCAGGCTCCGGGGACAGCAGAGCTCGCGCGACGCCGCGCCCGGCCCCGCCCCCGCCGTGCGAATCCTCAGCCCAGAAGGTGAGTGGCCCTGGCGACCCCGGGGCTCCCCCGTGTCTGACGGTCCCACGGGCCCAGGCCCCGCCTCGAGGCGCCAGTTTTCCCGCCTCTGAAATGGGTGGGTGGGAACTCTCTGTCCCCTCCGGAGTCCGATGGGCTAGGTGGCCGCCACCTGTTTGCAACGGGCCAGGGCCAGGCTCCCCCCGGGGTGGGACCTCAGTCAGGGGCTGCCGATGTGCAAAGCCAGGCTCAGAGATGCCATGTCCCCAGAGTGCGCACAGGGCCTGGGTACCTCGGGGACCCGGTGGCCAGGCTGGTCCCTGTCCCTGCCCAGAGGTCCAGGAGGAGGGATGAGGGAGCAGCGGGGCGGCCAGCGACCAGCAGAACCTGCAGGAGCCGGATGGGAATCTGACGCAATCCCTCAGCAAGATGTTGGAGTTGCGGGGCAGGCGCCCCAACAGGGGAGGGAGGTTCTGCCTCTGCGCACCCTCCACGGAGGCTCCAGGGGGCGCCGCTGGGACCCAGGAGGGTGGAAGCAGGGGTCTGGCAGAGAAGGGCACTTCCCCACACGCCCCCAATCCTTGCCCTGCTGTGTGACTCCTGGTAGATCTCTAGCCCTCGCTGAGCCTAGAGCTGGGTTGCAGGCTTTCAGACGGGTCTCCGCAGACCCTCCACACTTGCACCACCCTGGGGGACTGTGTTTTTGGGACCAAGTCATCTGGAATAATGGGGGGCTTGGTGCTCCTCACTCCTTGGTCTTGGCAAGTTTGTAGAATCAGGCTCAGACCTCCTGTGAGGTATTTTTGAGCTTAGCTCAGTGGTCTGTGCCTGTAGTCCTAGCTCCTTGGGAGGCTGAGGCAGGAGGATCACTTGAGCCCAGGAGGTCAAGGCTAGCCTGGGCGACACAGTAACATCCAACCCCAATAAATAAATAAATGATTTTTTTCTTCTTTAATGAGAAGGAAGCAGGCCAAGATTTGAATCTCAGATTCACCGATTATTGGATATACATTCATTCCTTCAGATATTTACTGTGTACACTGTGTGCCCGGCACGGTGGCAACCCAGCCAAGAGGGACTGAGATTCTAGGGAAGATGAATGAAGTACTTACCACGAAATAAAACAAGATGGTTGTTATTTGGGTGGTCTAAAGGGATGGGGCACAGCCACGCTGAGATTCCCGGGAAGAAGCTGTGCAAAGGCCCTGTGGTGGGATCCTGCTTGGTGTGTTGGCAGCATGGTAACCCCTATTCCTCCCGCACAGTAGGGTGACCAACTCTCTGATCTCTTTTTTTCCCAGTGCGACTCGGCTCCGACGGCCACGTGCACCTGCGCCTCTCCCGGGCCTCGCTGACAGAGGGTCTCCCGGAGGCCTACCGCGTGCACCGGGCCCTGCTCCGGCTGTCCCCGACACAGACGAAGTCGTGGGACGTGACGCGGCCGCTGAAGCATCAGCTCAGCCTCAGAGGATCCCGGGCACCCTCGCTACATTTGGGACTGTCGCCGCCTGCGGACCTGCCACTGGCACTGTCGCCCTCCGCCGGGCCTCAGCTGGAACTGCATTTGCGGGCACGAGCCGCCAGGGGGCCCCGCAGCGCGCGTGCTCGCGACTCGGACGGTTGCCCGCTCGGGCCCGGGCGTTGCTGTCGCCTGCAGACAGTCCGAGCGACGCTGGAGGACTTGGGCTGGACTGATTGGGTGCTGTCGCCGCGCGAGCTGCAGGTGAGCGTGTGCGTCGGCGAGTGCCCCAGCCACTACCAGGCGGCCAACACGCATGCGCAGATCAAAGCGCGTCTGCACGGCCTGAGGCCGGACGCGGTGCCCGCCCCGTGCTGTGTGCCCTCCAGCTACGACCTCGTCGTCCTCCTGCACAAGACCGACCGCGGCGTCTCGCTCAGGACCTACGACGACCTCCAGGCCAAAGCCTGCCACTGCGCATGAGCAGCCCCGGCCCCACTCAGTCCGGCGCCTGCGCAATGGAAGTGGCCTCAGTGGTCCCGCCTGTGGAGGGGGCCCGCAGGTCCTGACCGTCAGCTCACTCCCGCTGCCTCCCTCCGCCCTCCCGCCTATTTATGACGTATTTATTATTAACTTATTGGGGTCTCGGCCTGGGAGACGCCCGGTGGAAGGTGTATTTATTAAAAACTCTGGATATGTAATAAAAATGGAGCTGTCTGAACTGATTCTCGTCCAGGATGGGGCTGGGGGACCTGGGAAAGATTCCCAGCTCCTGGCCTCAGTGTCCCCAGGGGAGCTGGGAGGGGGGAGTGGAAGGTTTGGAGCGTGGGTGGCAGGATGTCCTTCAAACAGCAGCCACCAGAGGTGTCCATGGCCAGGGAGGTCTCCCTGACTGCTCTGGGGATTCTCTGTCTCTATATTTTCTTCTGTTTCTGGGACCCTTTGGGGTCTCAGTCTGCCTCTGTCTTTCCTCATCTCTCAGTACTCTTCTCTGGGGGACAGAGGTGGCTCTCTGTCTCTGCCCCAGAGTGGAGTCACCTTTCCAAGCACAGGCCGCCCAGAGCCAGGCCCATCTGCCATCGAGTTCATCATTTTGTACCCCCGCCCCTCCCTGAAGAGACCCACCACCCCTCCTGTTTGTGGCATTTCCTTCCATGTTAATGATACCTCCGCTCTTTCATATAAAAAGAGCAGGGAGAAATAAATAAGTGGTGAAGAACACTTTCATGCACATCACATCTCCCAGGTTCCATAAGCATCTTCTTGGCATTTGCTGAGGTGTGCTGAAGGCAGCACCCCACCTACCAGCCTGTCCCCCTCTGGGCCTTGGAGGGGAATACTGAAGGGGGCTCTGGAGGGATAGAGGATCTCCAGCAATGAGCTGTGTCCCTGGGAATGCCACTGCCATGGAAGCCAACCTGAATGACAGTAGGTGTCCCTGCATGTATTTCGTGAGTGCCAGCTTTGTGCCAGCTTCTGGCTGGGCACTGAGCATGCAGCAGTAACCACACAGACAAGAGCCATTGTTGATGATCTGATGGAGTGGGGGAGACGCAGGAGTCTGCAGGGAATCCTGGGGGGCTGGGTGCACTTCAGTGGTGGAGCTCCCCTGGCCTGGGCAAGGCCCTAGGTGCCATCCCAGCACCACACCAAAAATCCTAAGAAAGTGGGCACTGTAGAGGAAATGTGTGGAGACTCAACCCTGGTGGTTCACTAGTGAGGGAAGGAAGGTGGGTTAAGAGGGTCAGGCAGGTGGGGCTTCCTGGCACATACCTACTATCCCAGCTCCTCAGGAGGCTGAGGCAGGAGGATCACCACGTTTCGGGCCAGCCTCAGCAACTTGGTGAGGCCCTGTCTCATTGAAAAGTTTTAAAAAATGAAAGGACTGGGAGCTGGGCACATGCCTTGTAACCCCAGTGACGCAGGAGGCTGGGGCAGGAGGATCACGAGTTCAAAGCCAGCCTCAGCAACTTAGTGAAGCTCCAAGCAACTCAGCAAGACGCTGGCTCAAAAGAAGAAAGAAAAGGGGCTGGGGACGTGGCTCAGTGGTAAAGTGTGCCTGGGTCCGTCACTGGGATGACAGCAAAAAAATAAAAAATAAAAAATAAATAAATAATAATAATAATAATAATAATAACAATAATAAAAGAAAGAAAGAAAGAAGCTTTTGGAGCCAGTGTTCCCTCCCGTGGGGTTGTTGTAGGGACAGACAGGCAGGGCACCGAGGACAGCAGGAAACAGTTGTATTTGGCTGCAGCCAGGCTCAGAGGGCACAGCTTTTGCTGTCATCAATCAGTCCCCTGAACCCCGAGTTCAGGGGGTTTCAGAGTTTTATATCCAGCATGTAAGGGGAGGGGCCCAGAAGTTCACAGTCGGCAGAAGTTCCCAGAAAAGCAGCTTTTTCTGTCACTGTTCTGGGCAAGTTAACTCTTCAAGGACAGCACCTGAGAAGGGAGAGCTTCTTCTCCCCAAATGGAGCCCATTTGTAACTTATCTTAAAAATGTAGACATCTCTGTGAAGCCCAGCTCAGGGCCAGAGGCCTTGTTTGCACATTTCTACAAACTACTAGACTGGCTACGTCTGTGAAAACTAGTAAGGGGTGTCCAGCACCTGGAGTGCTGGTATCCTCCCGGCCAGTGGCCAAGTAAAACGGGAAGTTTCTCTACGTTGAACTCTTTTGCAGAAACTTTTTTGCTGACAGTCCCCAAATCAGCCATGGGGAAGATTTCTGGAGAAGCCGAGTGAAGACTTTTCTGGGAAGAAAGGCGGGGGGTGCCACTTCAGGGTCAGGGCCCAGCCTGGACACCTGGGAAGGGGGCGAGGGCAGGGCACAGGGCAGGGCTGGGGGTGGGGGCCTGGGGATCTCAGCTGGAGCCGTGGTCTGGGGAGCGTGGGGAGTGCCCGCCAGGAGGAACCCACAGGCACTGAGCCAGCCGCGTGTGTGTCCCAAAGCATTTATTGAGCACCTCCGCGACATCGAGAGGGGGGTGACATGGTGTTGTCAAAGGATGGCCCTTCTCCAGGATGGACCTTCTCTGTCCCCATTGGTCCCACGGGGAGACTGAGGCCCGGGGCCCCAGCAGGGCCTGGAGGACCAAGGCTCCGCCACCGGCTCAGCGCCTGGGGGTGGCGCGCGCCTCCCCGGCCCCGGTGGCGCGGCGCAGGGACAGCAGGTTGCAGTAGACGGGATGCGAGTCGCCGTGGCCGCCCTCGAAGTTCACATAGAAGTCGCCTTCCTCTGCAGCCTGAGCCCTGGGGACAGACACACGGCGGTGAGCTGGGGGAGGACGGGGTGGCGGGGAAGGGAAGGCACCACGTCTCCACATCTGCCCGACGGAGGTCGCCTTGGGGAGGGAGGAGCCACTGACTCAGGGACCCGCGGGTTCAGCCTCCGAACCTCGCCTCCGGACCGGCACCGCGGTGGGGGTTTTGGGGGGAGGTGGTTGTTTTATTTCTTCCTTCCCTAAAGTCGAGGTAGCTCCCCTTTTTCACATAAAAATTGTAGATTTCAGTTTCCTCTTGAAAAAATCCTATAAATGGGATGTTTGTCTGGCCCAGGTCCCCTGAAGCAACAGGGGACTGAGGCTCCCACCTCAAAATCAATTTCTGACCAGGCACAGTGGTGCAGGCTGCCATCCCAATGGCTTGGGAGGCTGAGGCAGGAGGATCCTGAGTTCAAGGCTGGCCTCAGCAACTTAGCAAGATCCTGTCTCAAAATTAGGGGGAAAAAAAGGGGGGGGTGGTGGTGGCTTGGGATATGGCTCAGTGGTTAAGTGGCTCTGGGTTCAATCCCTGGTACATATTAAAAAAACAAAAATTCTGAGTCTGAGTTTTGGCATCCATGGAAGGAGTCAAGGAGTCCATAAGCTGCCTAGAATGTCCAGTTACGTTGAGACCCCGGGAGAACTCTGTCCAGAACATCCTAACACCACCTCTTGATAAATGGCTACCTTGAGCCAGGGGCAGCGGCACACACCTCTCATTTCAGCTACTTGGGAGGCTGAGGTAGGAGGATCATGAGTTCAAGGCCAGCCAGGGCAACTTAGCAAGACTTTGTCTCAAAATAAAATAAAGAAGACTGGGGATGTGGCTCAGTGGCAGAGCATTTGCCTCGCATATGTAAGGCCCCGGGTTCCATGGTCAACAGTGTCAAAAAAATCCCAAACATATATATTTATAGCTGGGAGGAACTGGGAGATTCCAGGCAGCCCGGCAGGAAGGGAACTCAGGGCTGTTGATGAGAAAGGAGAAAATATGCAAAGCAGTTGCAAATATGGTTCAAAAGCAGAAGTGGTCTTGGGAAGGGACTCGAAGGCATGGGCTTCCCACGGCACCCTGTGGGGGACACTCGCCTGGCCCTCAAGTCCTCTCAGGACCAACCTGGCCTCCGATAACACCCTGGGTGGAGGAGAAGGTCACTTTCTGGCTGCAGAAATGGAGGTCCTGGGAGGCCTAGGAATGACCGGCCCAGGTCACGTAGTGAGTCAGAAGAGGCACAAGATCAACTGTGACTCCCAGCTCTGTCCAGCCTCTGCAGTCATTTATGTGGGCCAAGCAACTCTTACTAAAGTGTGAATGGCTACCTGGGATGGCCGGCGTGCACCACCACGCTGAGCTGAGCCTCACATCTTGCCCTCTCAGGAACTGTTGACCATGGAGTCTCTGTTCTTCCCCACCTTGGGGCCTCAACCCTTGAAATTCCCTCCTGTCTCTGTCTCTGTCTCTCTCTTTTTCTCTCTCTCTTTCCCTCTCCCTTTTAGTTGTAGTTGTACTTGGGATTGAACCCAGGGGTGCTTAACCACTGAGCCACATCCCCAGTCCTTTTCAAATTTTTCATTTTGAGTCGGAGTCCACTAAGTTGCTGAGGCTGCCTTGAGCTTGTGATCCTCCTGCCTCAGCCTCCTGAGCCCCTGGGGTTATAGGTGTGCACCACCTCTCTCTTCTCCAATCCAGGAAAGTTGAATTCATCTATTGAAGCCCAGTAAAATCTTCTAGAGGCTGGGGTTAGGGGAGAGGAACCCAGATGACCTGTTTAGCATCTTATGTGTGTCAAAGGAGATGGGAGGGCTGTCCCCATTTTATGGGGACGGAAATGGAGTTTCAGAGAAAGTCTGTATCACCCAGGACCTGAATCCTAGCTGCTCACCACTACCACAGAGCCCTCACTGTCCCTCAGACTCACCCCTCTCCCCATCCTCCGAAGTCAGAAACTGGGTTTGCAGGTCACAGAATGGGCGCTGATCCCACACCAAGACTTATGTAATTCTTACCCCAACTCCTTCTCATCTTACAGAAGACTGAGGCCCAGAGAAGGAAAGCTACTTGCCTGAGGTCACCCAGGCTGCAGAAGATCTAGGATTTTTTTTTTTTTTTTTTGTACCAGGGATTGAACTCAGGGGCACGTGACCACTGAGCCCCATCCCAGCCCTATTTTATATTTTATTTAGAGACAGGGTCTCACTGAGTGGCTTAGAGCCTCACTTTTGCTGAGGCTGGCTTTGAACTCGAGATCCTCCTGCCTCAGCCTCCTGAGCCTCTGGGATGACAGGCACTTGCTCTCCACGCCTGGCTGGTTTTTGTTTTTTTTTCGACAGGGTCTTGCTATGTTGCCCAGGTTGGCCTCAAACCCTGGGGCTACAAGGATCCTCCTGCCTCCGTCCCCAGAGTAGCTGGGACTACAGGTGCGTGTCCCCATGCCCGTCTGGCACAGCTGGGATTTGCATCCTGCTCTGTGGGTCAGGAACGTCACCATGAGCCCCTGCAGGCGAGGCTGGGGGTCACTCACCCATGTCCAGCCCATTGGTGCTTGTCCTCTTGCTGGTCCAGGAATATGTTCTCATAGTCAGGCACGGAGATGCGGTGCAGGGTGGCCCCTGGGGGCTTGGTGCCCAGGCTGCGGCTGCTGTACCTTGGCTGTGAGCCCGAGCTGGGTCTGGAGCCATCCTGAGCACCCGAGGCTTTGCCCGGGCCCAGGCTCCTGGCCCCTCGGCTCCCCCGGAGCCTCCAGACCAGCAGTGGACCAGCGACAGCAAGTCCAAGAAATAGGGCCCCACCGGCTGCAATGGCCCCAATAGTCACTGGGGACAGGCCAGGGGCACAGTTGGGTTCCAGGAAGGCTGAGAGGTTCTGCCAGGCCCCAGTGGCCCTGAGCAGGCACTGCGGAGCTTGCTGTCCAGAGCAGTTGCTCTGCCAGACCTGGTGCCAGGGCAGCATGGCACAGCTGCAGTCTGCCCTCAGCTCAAGGCCACAGCGCAGGGCCAGCGCCCCGTCCACCCTGCTCAGCCGGTTGCCTGTCACATCCAGGAGCTGCAGCTTGTCGAGGTGGGCAAAGAAGAGCGGCGGGAGCTCCCGCAGGTCATTGGCGGACAAGTCCAGGATCTGCAGGCCGCTGGCCCGGAGAGACTGGTTGGAGGGCAGGCTCGGGAGAGACTGGTTGGAGGATCCGCTCCGGAGCAGGCCACTGAAATTCAGGCAGGTGCCCTCAAACTCCCTGGTCCAGTCCACGGGCATTGGCCCTGAGAACAGGCTGCATGACCATCCCTGATTTCCTGGGTTCAGCAGCAGCAGCAGCAGCAGCAGCAGCAGCAGCGACCGCACCGGCAGCACCCACGCCAGGGCGCCCCCCATTCAGGCAACCTGGGTGGAGAATGGCCCGATTCAAAGGCCTGTGGTTGCCCTCACCCTCCCGCCTCTGTTGCTGTCTCAAACCAGCCGCGGCCTCTGCTGAAATAGTTGAATGCAGCCCCGGGTCTGTCGCCCTCTTGGTTGGCTAGGGACGCTGGGGCTCAGTCTTCCCCTCTGCAGAATGGGGACGCGACCACAGTCCCTCGCGGGCTGGGAAGGCAGAGAGGAGACCCTGCGCTGTCAGCCCCTCCACCCCCGACCTTCGGGCCTCGCCGGGTTTCCTCTTTGGGCCCCCTCATTGGCCAAGACGGGACCCTATGCAAATGAGCGGCTGCTCTGGGAACGGCTAGCCCCTCCCCCGGCCCAGCTCAGGGTCTCTCCCAGAACTCGGATCCTGGGATGGGGCTGCGGAAAGGGTCCCCGCTCGGCTCGCAGCCCTTGCCCAGGACCGAAGCCAAGCGCCTGGGTCTGACCTTTCGGATCGGGTCCCCGCGCCTTTGCCTCGGCCGTGCAGGAAGCCTCTGGTGCCCACAAGAGGCTCACGCCCGCGCCGAGCGCCCGGAGGGGGTGGTGGCAAGTGCTCCTCAGGCCTCGCACCAGCGACTCTGGGGAAGAGGAACTGGTGGCCGGGTGGAGCGCAGAGGGGAAGACTGAAGATGGCAGTGAGACCCGCCCTCGGCAGGGCCGCGGTCTCTCAGGAGGGGAGGAGGGGAGGCCCAGGGTCCCACTTCCCTCTTGCTGGAACCCAGTGACCTCACGTCCCCCATCTGGACCTCAACTGCCTGCCACCTCGTCAACAGACTCCCAGATCTCAGTTCAGGTGACTCCCCCTGTGCTTCATCGAGTCACTCAACAAACACGACTCATGACCGCCTCGTGAGGGGCCTCAGCCAGGACCCGGGCCTCCAGGGCACCCGCCTTGGGAGAGAACAGAGCTGGACCCACACACCTGCTCCATGGAGTCTGTGCAGGGCCACAAGGAGGGACAGGATCCTGGAAGGAAGGCTTCCTGGAGGAGGAGGGGTCACGATCGGGGCTTCAACACATGGGTAGGAGTTTGCCGAGGATTCCTAGAATCCAGTTGGCTCTCCAAGCTCCAAGCCGCCAGTGTAGACACAAAGCTCCAGCTTATGTTCAAGGGTGCCTCTGGGTTGGAGGGGCTGAGAGGAGGGCTCCTGTGGGAGGGGACATGGTTCTCAGGCTTGGACAATGACTTCAAGTGACTAACAGAAAGGAGCACATTGCAGATTTGAGGCACAAAGATCCCAGGGCAGGAGGAGCTGGTGGTGTGGGCAGGGGCAGGCAGTCTAGGCTAAATCTCGGGGCTTTATTCCCAGGGCCAGCGTTCCATCCGAGGGACAGTGACCAAAGTGCAATTTGGGAAAGGGTCTCAGCTGCACTCAGGCCCTGGTGTCAGACAGGCCAGGTTCAAATTCATTCCAGCCGCGACTCACTGAGTGACGCCAGCCACTCTGAGCCTCAGCCTCCACATCTGTAAAATGGGGTGATTGCTAACAGGTTTCTCCTGGACTTTGAGAGGATGAGAGTCTACTCCAAACTCAAAGGAATGGTCACAGATTTTGGGCCAAGACCTTGCAGAAGTCTTGGAAATTGTTCCTCGATGCACCTAAATATGCTTGCTCTAGCTGGGTGCAATGGTGCACCCCTGTATTCCCACACCAGGAGGCTGAGGCAGGAGGATATCAAGTTTGAGGCCAGCCCCAGCAACCCAGTAAGACCATGGCTCAAAATAAAATCAAAAGGGCTGGGGATGTGGCTCCAAGGTAGAGCACCCAGGGTTCAGACCTGGGACGGGGGGGAACGAGCTTGCTCTTCACAAGAAAATTGCAAATCACAAATCCCAGCTCTGAGATATGGTTCACCTATCAGATGGGCAAAGACCCAAAAGCACAATGACAGTCTGTGTTGGCTGGACAGTGGGGACGCAGGCGACCCAGAATGGTGTTGGGGAATGTCCCCTTGGGCCTCTGGGCATTGTGAACTGTCCCGCCGCGGGACACCATGGTCACAAAGAGGCACGGAGAGGTGGTGGCTCGAACCTGGCTGAGTCGGGGAGGCGGGAGTGGGATGGGGGTGGGGGGTGTTGAGTGACAGAAGCTACACAGTTCTCAGTCTGCAAAGCAGTTGCATGGATGCCAGGGGCCAGGGAGGAGAGCGGGAGTGGCCCTAGTGGGGACAGTTTCCTCTTGGGTTGAAAATGAGACAGGATCCTGGCGACGGTACATGGACTAAATGGCCCTGAAGTGTTTGTTTGGGCGCCAGGTGGGAACCCAGGGCCCTCCCTGCACCTGCGAAGTACACTCTCCCACCACCACGCCCCCAGCCCCAGTGATTCACTTTGAAGTAACTTAAAATGGCCAGGCGAGGGCGCCCGTGAGCCCATCATCCCAGTGGCTCGGGAGGCTGAGGCAGGAGGATCGCTAGTTCAAAGCCAGCCTCAGCAAGAGCCAGGCGCTAAGCAACTGTCTCTAAATAAAATCTAAAAAGGCTGGGGATGGGGCACCCCTGGGCTCAATCCCTGGTATCAAAAAATAAAAACAAATAAATAAATTCACCCTACTTAAAAAAAAAAAAAGGAACAAGGGCTAGGGTTGTGGCTCAGTGGTGAGCGCTCTCCTGGCATGTGCGAGGCCCTGGGTTCAATCTTCAGCACCACATAAAAATAAATGAACAAAATAATAAATGCACTGTGTACAACTAAAAAATAAATATAAAAAAAGATGAAATAGAAAGCAGAGGGGCTGGGGATGTGGCTCAAGCGGTAGCGCGCTCGCCTGGCATGCGTGCGGCCCGGGTTCGATCCTCAGCACCACATACCAACAAAGATGTTGTGTCCACCGAGAACTAAAAAAATAAATAAATAAATATTTTAAAAATTCTCTCTCTCTCTCTTAAAAAAAAAAACAAAAATAAAATAAATAGAAAGCAGAGAAGACGAGAGGCGTGAGATCATTCACCCCAGCTTTGTTTATTATACAGAAACCATCGCTCAGAGTTCCTCTCTCCCGGGGGTGATGAGAAGAAAGGATCTCTGGGGCCCCTAAGGAAAGACTCACTAGTTTTCTTCAAGTCTATTCTTTTTTCCTTGGGACACCCGCAGCCACGTGATGCTGAGGATGGAACCCAGGGCCTCCCATGTGCCAGGCGAGCGCTCACCTCTGAGCCCGGCCCTGTATTTAGAGACAGGCCTCGCTGAGTTGCTGAGGCTACCTTTGAACTTGAGATTCTCCTGTCTCAGCCTCCAAGCCGCTGGGATTACAGGTGTGCACCACGGCACCCAGCCTCCACCAGTCCTTATTAAGCTGGGCAGGGGTCTGAGAGCTGGGGACAGAGGCGTGAACAACACAGATATACCTCTGCCCTGGGGGGGGAGGGGTGTCACAGCTGGTGGGGACAGGGAAGCTGTGGGATCCAGAATCCATCAGGAAGCAGGAAATAGAGTAAGCCAAGCAGCGGGAGAGACAGAAAGAAACATAGACGCAGGAGGAAGAGAGGATGGTAGCAACTTTTTTTTTTTTTTTAAGAGATGGGGTCTCTCAATATTGGCCAGGCTGGTTTTGAACTTCTGGGCTCAAGTGATCCTCCTGCCTCAGCCTCCCAAGTAACTGGGATGACAGGTACATAACACTGCTAATAGCAACTTTTTAATGGTGTGATCAAGGAAGCTCTTATGGAGAAAACAGCTTTTGAGTAAGGAGGTGTGAAAGTGGGAGGACTTCCATGAAAAAGGTCAGCCTGTGCAAAGGTCCTGTGATGGGAACAGACCTGAGTAGACATCAGATGTCTTCAGGGGTTTAGTTCAGGCTGCTGTAACAAAAATACTATAAACTGGGGGCGGCTTATGAAGCACAGATATTGCCAGGAGCAGTGGCACACATCTGGAATTTCCAGCAACTCATGAGGCTGAGGTAGGAGGATCCAAAGTTCAAGGCCCGCCTCAGCAAATTGGTGAGGCTCCATCTCAAAATAAAAAAATAAAAAGGAAGGCTGGGGATGTGGCTCAAGCGGTAGCGCGCTCCCCTGGCATGCGTGCGGCCCGGGTTCGATCCTCAGCACCACATACCAACAAAGATGCTGTGTCCCACGAAAACTAAAAAAATAAATAAATATCAAAATTCTCTCTCTCTTTAAAAAAAAAAATAAATCAAATACAAATTAAAAAGGACTGGGGTTGTAGGCCAGGGTGTCAGAGCAACCCTGGGTTCAATCCCTGATACTGCACCCACCTCCTGTTACCATCCCAAAGGGGACTAGATGTCAACATATCAATCTTGGAAAGGGACACAAAATTTCGGTCCCTTAGCACCAAAATGCTAAATGGAAAAAAAAAAAAGTCCATCAAAAAATTTCTAGATTTCATTTGAATAAAGAAACTGGGTGAAACAAGGAACACAAGGAACAGACACCCATGGTCACCTCTGAGTGGCAGCCAAGGGGACAGAGACCCTCCCTGGGGCCGGGTCACAGTTTCCACCCTGGCGTGCGAGCGCAGTCTCCTGGAGGCCCTGGATGCAGACCCGGAAGCCAGGCGCTGTGTGGAGGAGAAGCCCTGGGAGGGGGCCAGGGGCCCGGGAATGTCTCGGGCAGCCTTGGGGGGTGGGGTGTCTAGCTCAGGGCCTCTCAGAAAAGGAGGAAATGAGGAAATACGGAAATGAGGGGACACCAGACGCACTGCCACAGAGGGTGGGGGATGGGCAGCTGGGGCCTGGGACGCTCGGTTTTCAGGGGGTCCTGGGGGTTCTGGGGCCTCCAGGGTCCGGGAATCTGGGGGCCTTGGGGTCTCAGGCCTGAAGGACCTGGAGTCTGGAAGACTTGGGGTCTGGGCCCTCCTGGGAGCCCCAGCCCCGCCTCCGGAAGGGGCCAGCTGTGGGCTTTGCCAGGCCCCACCCTGACGCAGGGAGCTAGGAGGTGGCCAAGGGCAGACCTCTGGGTCCCCTCCCCTCCCCACCTGCCACACCTGGGCCCCAGGCAGGGCCACCTGTCAGCACAGAGACCTCCAAGACTCCAGAAATGGCTCTAGATAGAGACACCAGGATCTTCCCAGACACCCCCAGGGACACCCAGCAGATCTTCAAGATCCCAGAGGCCCCCAGAGCCCCCCGAGAACCCAGGGAGACACAGGCAAGCCCAGCAGCCCAGAGGGACCCAGGGAGGGACTTTCCTGGGGCCTCCCGGCTCCAGGGCCATCAGTTTGTGATCCCCCCAGTTGAGCCCCGTCATTCCACACCTGGGCTCCCTACCCACCCTGTGCAGGTGCTGCTAGGACCCCTCGCCAAGGTCTGGCCAGGGCTCTGCCCCCAGGGACCCCAGTCCTGATCAGGTCTGCCCTCCCCCTCCTCCCGCCCCTGGCCTCTCTCACTCACCTGGACCAGCCCCTCCTCCCACCCTGAGACCACCCTGAGTCAGGTCCCCTTCCTGGCTTCCTGCCTTGTCCTATCCTCCCTGGGACATCCTCAGGGCTGGGGACTTGGAACACCCTCCCCCAGGTCCAGCTGCTCTGGGAATCCACTCACCCAGAGAGGGTGGAGGGCAGGGGCCAGGCAGGCAGCTG